TCCATATTTTAAAAAGCAATTTTTACAAGTTTCGTCAAATACCAACTAAATATTTAATCAAATATCAATGGTATGGTCCACATCCCCAGATGGTTTCCCATAGGACATAAATTCAATGCCTGTACATGGAAGTAATTGCTTAAGTTTTACCATACGAAGAAAAAGGAAGAAACATGAAGTATTTAAATCATATGAAAAATATCTCATTAATAAAAACATTAAAATAGCTTTGTGGAAGAACGGAAAAGCAGACGCTTCAATGATAACTTCCCCTCATGGAGTTGCTTTCCTTGTGTAAGCTTTGGTCGGCTCACTCTGTACGGTAAGTCTTTTTTTTTTTTTTTTTATTACCCTGTGTATGTCACTGGTTCAAGTATTAAAGCACATACAAAATGATTCATCCTGTCTTCATGTTATCAGATAAAAACAGAGTGTTTCAGTTAATGGCAGACATAGAACCAGATGAGCTGTTTAAATAAACACTGAATATTAAGGGGTTTTCATATGATATAGGAAATTACTTGGTAATTAAGGTGGACTGAAAGCTGCTATTTTACTTAAGCCTAAACCTTTGCTTATTTCTTACGGGACACATCAGAAAAATCAAATTCAGATTTATCTGATCATATTGGTTGATTCTGGTTCTGATCAAACATCAAAAGCAGCTCAAAAGTCCCTGTAATGGCAACAATTCCAAATTACATCTTTAACTTACTGTGCTGCTTAAATATCAGCAACTTCCCAAGTCTGAAAATCACCATTTACACCCAATGAACACACTTTGGATTAGTGTTGTAAAACAGCCATGGCTGAACAATTATCAGTCAGGATGTGTCTCACAGTTTCTGGTGATTTTAATGGTGTTGGTCACACATTTCAGCCTGTTATGGATTTATTTTCCGTGTTAACAGCAGTGGAACAGGCAACTGGATGTCATTTATCACTTTTAAAAAAATATGCATTTCAAATGGAGTTAATTTCTTGGTTTTAAACCATCCTTGTCTGTTAATGTTTCATTCTTCAGATTATCATATGTTCCAGTTGCCTCATATTATACTGATCCTCACAACAACATGTCCATATCGCCATCACTTGTTTAGAAGAGTGTTGCACAATTCATGGGAGACACAGGATTATAACACCTAAACTGTTAGGAAAGCCTTAGTTCTGGTTTTATTACAAACGCAGCACAAAGAAGTGACATTTCTGTTTTAACTCCCTGGAGGACTCTGATAAAATGCCTTTTCAAGGGGAACAAATTTGCAGGAAGCACTGCAGGAACGGAAGAAAATGTTTGTTTTTGAGGTATTAACAAGTGTTTACATTGAAGACAGACTGCTAAGCAAAGGTACTTGTTAAGAATTGAACCCTTCTTACTCTATGTGTTTTAGAGGTTAATATATGGCATCTTGCAGTATGATTTCAGTTTTGGATGAACTTTTATTGCAGAAGCATATTCTCACTTTGAAATTCTTTTTATCCAACTGTCTAACAAATATATATCATAAAAAATGCATTTATCAAAATACTGGCTACCAAAATGACTAAATCCTCAGCTGTAAATACTTTCTGTAAATGCCTTTTGCCTGTAGGACAGAACCTAATCTTAGCCAATAGGATTTCACATAGTCAGAGCACTCAGAAGTTATATATTTTTATATCCTGGAAAATATTTCTGTTATGTGTTATATGGCTTAATTTCGTCATTTGGCTGAAAATGAAAAACACAGGCTTTTTTAGATTCCTCATCAATAATATCCTGTTTGAAAGAATTCATGCCTTACATCAGGGCCCAGGGTTCTCACCTCGGCTAATTTAAGCATAGCGCTATCGGCCCTTAGACTGACATCTGGGATCCCTCCCCCAGGTCTCTGCCCAGAAACATTTCAGCCATAAAACTATTAGGTTGATACACTGACATTAAATTTAGAGGATCAGAAGGATCCCAAGGGACCAGTCTATGAAGTTGAACCAATTGATATCAGAGTTTTTCTACAACATTCAATAAAGCATAGCAGTGCTGCTACATAGCCGCCTTACAGTGGCTGAATATAAATGAAAGCAATGTCTCTGGATAAGATTGATAGTTTGCTGATTAAGGAGAGAAATGAACATTGGTTCCATAAAAAAAGGAGGACTTCATTAACAAAGAGACAAAAAAGAAAGATAATAAAGGTGCAGCCTAGAATACTCCCCCCACTGCTAAAAAATCCTAGTGAGAACCCTGAGGCCCACAGCATTATGGATCCTTCACTCTACACCACACTGGGCACGAGGTTTGTGTTTTTGGATATCATTATTTTTTAAATATTCATCCTATGTTATGAAAAACAGCCACAAGGATCAGCAGTTTCCAACATGTTGGTGATTCTGAACAGAAAAGGACTATTTTTTACTTTTAATTTGGAACGATGAACGACATGAGCTAGAGCTAGAGCCATAGCTGGAATATGGATATATCTCACATATTTACATCCTCCACTAAAACATTTTATTGTAATTCTTATTTAATGGAAATACCACAGCTGCAAAATTTGCATTTTTTAAATCAGCAGAATATCGAAACAGTACATTTATAATGGAAATTAAGTTTGAGGGCTTTTTTTTTTTTTACCTTTTTTGTTTATTTTGGGATAAATTGAGATTATGGGATAAATATATCCTTCAGTTACACAGTTTTAACTAATTTCATTGCTTTAAGCTTTTGATTTTACTTTATTTAGTTTTCTTTTTTTTTTACAGTAGATGTGGAAAATTTGCTTTTTTGTAGCATTGTCAAAGCTTTAAAGATTGCAAAAAAATCAATTTTTAATTAGATGTTTTCTGGTCTATTTAATGTTGGAAAGTGGGTAAATGAAACTGGGCTTTCTTCACATAAAATTTATATCTGAGCAAACACCCTAAAATGGATTTGTAGGTAAAAACAACCAATCTAGTTGGACAAACCAATTGTAGTTAGATTAACCAATATATAGAACAGAAGATGACCAAGCCATTGGTTTCGGATAAACCGTTTTAATTGGTTAACCAAACAACCAATAAAAATGGCTACTGATGGTTTACTACTCTGACTATGTGGCTCTAGTCAAGTATAGTGTGTAATACTTATGGACCTAGAGAACAATTACAGTGATGTGTTCATGTGCAGCATGCAAATCTTGGCTTTAACCTTGGTTGTAACATTAGTAATAACTATTAGTAAATTCCAAGAATTATTAGTGGGGACATTGGTGTTGAATGCAGGAGTTTACCCTGCAACCAATTTATTCTGTTTGCCCTTTTACCTATATAAATTGGTTGTTCTAACCAAAACATTGGTTGGACACACATCTACCAATTAGATTGATGAAATTCAACCAAATATTTAGTTGTATCGATTGATCAGTTTTTAGATTAAACCAGAATTAAAAGTTCCTTGTTTTTTTTGTTCAATCTAATTTGTCAGAAGAAGAAATATGGGTTAATTACAATAGTACTTCACCTGTAATGGAATAATATAGTTTGTAAAAGTAATCAATGTCATGTAAAAAGGTGTGGGACTGTACTTCTGCAATAAAGTAATTTCAACCTCTTACACACAGCAAACTATTGTGAAAGGTCCTGTAAAATCAACACATCCATGAAATCTTATTTTTGTTCATTTATCTGGTTTGTACCACCCGATGGTCTGAGTCTAATGATGTTAATTAACTGCTAAGTTTGTAACATTTTGCGTTGGTGTGCAGTTTCCAACCCTTTTATCTGTGTTTCCAGCCCTCTCAACAAACCGTGTTACATGTGAGGAAAAATAGGATGGAAATGAACAAAACAGATTTCAAAGCACTGAAAGTTAATGTGCTCCAGCAGACTGTGCAAGGAGACATTTTTCATATTCTACTTCTTCTTACCTCTAAAAATCTACAGAAAATCAAAACAGAATGGCCTTCAACTTGTACAAAAAAAACCACTCACATTTTTCAAGCTACATTTCATTATCTTTTAGAAAAACCACATTCACATTTAAAAAAAATGGGCCCTTTAATCTTTATAGGCTTTACTGCAGACTTTGACAAAACTGATTCACTTTTTTCTGCACAGCGAAACTATCCTTCATTTGAGAGGGCATGCCTCATAAATTGTTTCAGATTAGAAGGTAGGTTTAGAAAACAAGACCGAGAAGCTATAGAGCACAGTGTACCAGGGAAATAAAATGACCGCCTTATGCCTACGAGTTTACCAGCACAGCATGAGGCTACCTTCAACACAAATGGCTGTTGTCTCATCTAAAACAGCTGATCTTGATGTATTTGGTTTCTCTAAAAAGCAAACACAAAAGCACTGCAGGTTGGTGGGCTCAAAGGTGGCTTCTAGACATCATTTGTCTTTTTACAATCCTCGGAGCCAGCGGTGTAGCACACACCAAGACCTCATGTAACATAGAAAGTGTCTGTAATATATTCATATATTTTCTGCCGTTTACCTGTTTTTAAACTCTCAGTCACTAAGCATGACAACATGATCATAATAACACATTTCATCAAACAAAAAGAAGTCTCTTTGCACTAAACGACATTCAAAGTAAAACATGGCACAAGACGACTTTTTCCTTGTGTTTTTTTTCATCTAGGAAATATCAAATTTTCTCAAACATATCTTTTGTACATTGAAATGGAAAAAAAAAGTTTGACTTTTGATTTGTTTTTTAAAACAAAGGGTTGTATTTATATATCTATATATATATTTAATCATATATCCTCTTCTCTCTTTTGATTTAGCTTTTGTTGTGCAAATTCAGCAGTAACACAAGTGGCACAGCACTGGGGAGAGAAGGTCTGTGGGAAGAGAAAAGAACTAGATGTAATATCGAACTGAATGTAGAGTTTTGGAGCTTGTTTTCTTCGAACACGAGGCGTTTTCACTATTAGAGACCTGGAGAACCCAAACCGGGAACAGGAGTTTCCTGGTCGGTCCTCCTTCCTGATGTTCTGCTGTGGCAGCAGCTCGCCGAAATGTCTCTGAGTCTCTGACAGTTCTTTTTGCTGCAGTTCTGCAAAAGTCCCTGATGTTATATATCCCCCGTAGAGGACAGCAACAGAAAGGGAGAGTAATGAAATCTCCTGGGTTTTTGATAATTCGCAGTCTGAAACATTACCTTGGTGGTTCGGAGCTTTTTCCTGTAGAGTGTCAGCTCCAGCTAAAGGAGTCTTTTCTTCTGCTCACCTGTTTTAGTTTAGGTCCATATTATCTGAGGCTGGAGGTTGCGTTTGATTTGGCTGATAGTAAGAATTGTGGCTCAGACACTAAGAAGAAGGAAGAAAAAGAATAGTAATGAAATAAAAGGGGGTGGAATAAACATTCTGATAGATTCCAGACTCTGCTGTCCTTCCAGTGCGCCTCTCCTGCGCGGTGCTCGTGTCTTTGCAGCCTTTTTCACTGCTGCAGGTCGTCATCTGCCACCGCAGTGACAACAGATCTCAGACGTCAAGAATCAAAAATGTCACGGGATGTCAAAAGTGGTGAGGGAAGGCGTTTGGGTAAGCCAGTTCTGCACTAGCTGAGGTGTCTGATTGGCCGGACCTCAGCTTGCCAGGGCCATTGTGTCGATGACCTGCTCTAACTTGCCGCGTAGCCGCTGCCTGCGAGACTGGTCGTCCTTCTGTAGCGCAGAGAGGATCTGTGGGCAGAAAAGGAAGAGCATTACTTTCATGCCTCACAATAAAATCCTCCTTTTTTAATAAAACTCAAACATGGATACATTTTCTATGCATGAATCAAGTTTGCTCCATTACTGTGCAGCTCTGACATTTATTTCCATTTGCAGGTTTGCAGTTACAATTACCCAGTTGCTGACAGCGTGGGCAGAGTCGACAGGGGCAGGGCTGAGGACCGGTGGAACGTGTGTAATTGCGTATTAATTGTCAGCTAGAGTATGTGTACAGAAGAATGCGTGCAACTAGGCTTTTTTGAGGCATTACCAGGAAGAGGAGGAGCTGCTGTAAATGTCTCTGTTTTATAATGGATAATGTGTGGAAGCGCATTAGTGAGTATATGCAAGCATTTTTTAGCACATCTTTGAATGTGTGCATGTGTCTGTGTGTGGCTTTAAGGTCAGGGCACGTGTTGGGGCCGACGGCTCAGTGCAGCTGCCTACATCTGGATAATAGGCTGTAATGATGGGGAGCCATGGGTTTGAATGGAGCCAGCTGCAAGCGGGCGGTGTAACTACAGTAATACTGCTGCTTTAACGGAAAGGAAGGAGGAACCATTTTTTTCAACACATATGTGCTTGTTACAGTAGGATTTCCAGGAATTAAGGACTAAAACATGTTACATCTACACTTTTGCAGCTCTACAGTAAAAAATATTCCAAACTACGACTTTTTCATATTTTGAAGATGAGACTCCTGCATTGTCATTTTTGTGTAATACAGCAAAGGATGAGGCATAATAGTGGAGTGAAAGAAGATTGATACACAGCTGTTGTTAAAGAAACCCAGTCCTCATGCACCAATAGTGATGTATTGATGAGGCGTCATGAAGCGTTTTAACGCATTGCCAAGCTAGCGATACTGCGTTGATACTGTGTCACTCAATACTGACACCTGCTGGGCCTTTCAAATCCCTACATGCAGCTTATTTGACAGACTAAACTGACACTGATTCAATGACCTAGAACGATAATATATTTTAAGTCATTCCACGTTATATTGTATTATTTCAGACCTTCATTTCAACTTATAATATCTTTGATATTTTTAGATGCAGTCAATAAATAATGTGAACATGTATCATAATGTGAAAAGTAGGTGAATATGTGAATAAGGATGATTGTGGCATAGGATTTATAAAAAAATGTTCAAAACAAATTCGGTAATCTAATTTAAATTCAGGTAAATCACGTGATAAATGGGTTGGATAGGATGACATAAGGAGAGAATTAAAACAAATATGAGACGAAAATGGTGAAATATTTATTTTGCCTTGAAGCTACTCCATATTTCATCATGAATTTGATAAGGAACCGCAAATGATCAGAGATTTTTCTGTCAAATGCATCCCATTGATAGATACGCTTATAAACAGAGCTTCAGTAGCATCAGTAAATTTGAAATAGCTCCAGTATTGGTCAGGTGTAGGTATCGGTCAAGCACCGACAAGGGGTTTTGGTCTATCAGCTCGACAGATACACTAATGCAACGGTGTTGCTGGACACAATGCTGGTAAAAACCATTGGTCTTGTTTGCGTTTTTGGGGTTTTCTAAGGGGGGCATGTCCCCTGCACATTTAACAAAACAATGACGTCAAAATACATGTTACGCTACAGTGCACAGACATTCGTTGAGCACCTTGACCGCAGGTCAAACTGAAGTCTGCTTCCCAGAGTTTAGACCGCCCATAAGCTCCTGATTGGCCCACCATCTTTTCTGGCGTGATTGGCTATCATTGCTGTCACTCCTGAGAAGCTCACTTTACAATCATCTGATGCGCCACTGTATCAGGTCTGTGATTGGATGGTCTAACACACGGAAGTTAGTTGTATTAAAAAATACTTGTGCCCCCTTCCACTTCTGAAATCTAAATTTAATCAATGAAAATAAAGGTTCACTATTCAGGTTGAATGGAGTTCGTCTGTGAATAATTCCTCCAAGGGTGCATTTTATTTTCATCTTAACTCAGCACTTTCTCTAATTAACACAAAGAAACCAAGGGTTTCAATTCTCCTGCTATCATGTCCAGAGGACAACCTAAAACAACCGAACAGCCCACAGTTAGCCCAGTTTCATTTGAACAGAGCCATTACCTTTCAGAGTACTGTAGCTATTCAAACATACTCCATAGGGGGTGGGGTATGCTTATACACTATATTCAGTGTTGGTCAACTAGTCAAACCACTTTTGGTTAAGATCACATTGTGTAGTTGTTGATAGAAGCAATGGGCAGTTATCTTTAAGGATTCTCAGTCATCCAGGTCATGGTCAAGCTTGAAAAGTTCAGTTTAGGAAACTGGACGTGAAGTTTTCTAGGAGATGTTTCACCACCTCATCCACGGCCCTTCTTAAGTTCAAACCAGTGGTGGGGAGCACTGAGATTAATATACTGTAGGTGTAATAAAGAATTAGGGGAAAACAAAAGGTGGCTCTGATCCCTTCCACTGGAGGACCCCTTGGGGTGTTAATGGCTGTTAGGGGGGTTCTGGTGGGTCGCTGACTCCCTCGTCAGAGTGTTTTCTGTCACATGCCTCATTGAAGTAACCTGACAACAGCCAGATGCATGTCTCGCTCCGCCTAGCTCCACTCACATACATCTGGGAACCCGCTCATTGAAAGTGATTTCCCCAACCGAATTTATGGTCTGTCCAATCAGGACGCAGGGCGGGTGTGTCCTGGAGTGGAGAAGCGACCGTGAGATTCCAACAACAATGGCGGCTCGCATTGAGGAAGCAAGCGTTAGCATTGATGCTGCTATTTCTTCTGTGTTGTCATCTGATATTGTTTCATTAACAGAACATCAGAGAACGGCTTTGAAGGCTTTTGTTGGTGGAAACGATGTTTTCGCCCTTCTCCCGACCGGATTTGGCAAGAGCTTGATCTACCAAATGGCTCCTCCTCTCACAGCGTCACGGGTTAGCTTCGGTGTGAGTGGTTGAAATAGCACGTCAATAAAGATGACAGACAAGTGGCTTATCCAATCATATGCAAGGAGTTTTGATAAGGCCCAGCCTTCAGGAAAGGCAATTCCTATGGCTGGTTCCCAGATGTATGTGAGCGGAGCTAGGCGGAGTGAGACATGCATCTGGCTGTTGTCAGGTTATCATTGAAGTGTGAGTCAGGGAAAGAGTAAGTGAGAGGAGAATCTTCCGGGAATTGTTCCTAAAAGTCCTTTGTAAATAGGTGAAAGGTTATGTCGAAGAGCGCATCCCCTGTTGTTTTCTCCAGGTTAACAAAGATGGCTTCCTTAACCCCTTCTTTAAACCATCTTTATTGCTTGGCTAGAATGTGGACGTTGTTGTCTTCAAACAAATCTCCTTTAGCCTTCAGGTGTAGTTGAACAGCTGAGAAGTGTCCTAAGGAGTTGGCCCTCCTGTGTTGAGCCATGCATCTGTGCAGCAGTTGCTTGATCTCTCCAATGTCTGTGATCTGTACATTCTTCACTACACTGAACAACATAAACCAAGTTGTCAGCCTTTTTTCTGGGTGTCTTATCTTTGGGTTGAACCAGTTTTATTTTCAGGGTATTGCTGGGTTTAAAGTGTACATGGATCTAGTGCTTGTTTAAATTTTCTTGTTTTTCAGAGACACCAGCACATAGGGAATGACAATGTTCTTTCTTCTGTTTTCTTCCCTCTTATCAGGCCTGTTCTTCTTCTTATTGGACAGTTAATTACATTACAGACCGCCTCTTGGGAAAAGCTTTAATTAATGCATGAAGCATCCATGAGGTCAGCGAGGGCAAAGACAGATTTTCCGCACCACACACCTAGGATCATTTTTAACTAGTTGGACAGCTCAGCACGGAAAAACAGGATGAATGACCGACAGCTCCTATGGGCGCGGTTGTGCATATATAAACATTGAAAATTATTTTGTGATTTAGCCCATAAATATCGCGACAATCAAGAAGTGAGGAGGAAAATCCGGACAGAGTATATTAGCTGAAGACGTGTCTGCCCTCTCATTCCCATTCAACATATGGGTGCCAAACATAACTGTATATATCTGTTATACTTTCAGAGATCCTTTTTGTTCTGCAATCCATTCAGACATGAACTTCAAACTGCCACTGACCTTTAAGTTTGTTTTTATATAATAGTGATTTTATCTATTGTTAGAGAGATTATTTTTAGAGGGATTTGTTTTGTGTGTGTTTAATGGGTAGCCTTGTAGGCTTTGGTAGGCAGCCATGTTTGGCTTGCAGGTGTGTTATAAAGATTTTAAGTGATAAACTATGCAGTACTTAGTTTAAGGTAGAATATTCATCTCATGCTACTGTTTGCTTTCTAATATTATCTAACAACCTCTGAGGAGTTCATCTATTAGATGGATTTATAATCAGATTGAAATAAATACACCTGGAGTCTATTAGTCATCAGGCAAAGTCTAGATTTTTTTTATGGGTAAACTAGCAAAGAGGGGAAATTACACGCACTATGCAAGAAATTATTTTTTTTCTTAAAACAAAATTAGAAACCACATCTGTCACATGGGATATAGTAAAGTGAGTATTTGTAAACATTTATGTAAACTTCTGCAAAGCTTTATATAGAGAATTGGAAAGAATTACACATAACATGTTGAAAATTAAAATTTTCTTTACTCTCATGAACTGCTCATAGGGCCTGATCTTCTTGGTTTTTTTTGTGTGCTATGAGAGGTTGCGTTTTACGTGGATCCACAAAGGTCGGTGTACAAATGTGAAGACATGCAAAACAATTTGGTTCCAACCTACGTGCATGACAGTTATAACAGAAACCTGAGTTTCAAAACCATGAAGGGGAAGATAATAATGATGATTCTTAAAATCAATAATAATAATAATCCCAAAGTGCATAAAAGAAATAACAGTGCTTGGTGCACCAATGCCTCCTTGTGTGTCAGTTTGCAACTGACTTAAGGAGCTAAAACTGCTTCTGCAGTTGAGTTCCTGATTTGGTAAATAGCTTTGCATGTGGTAAATGTTATATCTACATATCTTCAATGCATGAATTTGTCCGCTTTGGTTATTAGAATATAATGTGCATATTGATGAAGGCAAACAAACAAATTAAAGGTTTGCACATGTCGTCTACTGAACTGCAAATACAAAAAAAAAAATCACTTTGCACCTTTTCAACTTGATTATTAAAATGTCCTCACAGATATTATAAAAAAACAGTCTTTTTATCAAGGTAAAAAAGTAAAAAAAAAAATAGTGTATTCAACTTCAAGTTGTTTTTGTTGTTTCTTTTTTGCATATCATAGAATCAATAATGTGAAGGTGGTTAACAACAGATCATTAATCATTAAACACTTTGTAAATTAAGAATACAATAAAATGTAAAGAAAATGTAACCCTTCATCAGATCAATAGATGATAGGAATGCGAAAACAAAGTCATTAGTATATAAAACACTCATTTTCCATTTAGACTCACGAAAAAAGTGAAGTTATTATTTATGGTACTGTAGAAGCGTATTGGCAGAATCTGCCATTGAAATTAATGATTTAAAACAGATCTTTACTCTTATGACACATCTGTCACATTTACAGTAATTAGCCACTGATCCGGCTTTTTTAATTTACTGTCAAACTTTAATTACTGCCTTCCGTCTTGGATCATTATGGTTAGATAGCACATAATGGTTGGGATCTTAGCATATGTACATAAAAATAAAAAAACTAAGTGGAAAAAAATATCAAGCTTTAATTTGGGTAAAAAGCTTGATTTTTAGTCCACTGGTAGCAGGTGTTATTTTCTACATAAAAGTCTGAGCAAAAATCATAAATTCTGTGAAGCTTCATTAAGTTTATAATGTGTTGAGCTCACGCCTTAATGTGCATCCTAATGGTGCTAATACCTTCCAGCCTGCACCAATGCAGATTGCTTATCAGTGTAATTGAATTAAAATGACCTCATGATGTTACTCAAGACAAGTAAAGACATAGCCCATCCATCCAGCGGGTAATTACAGCATTCTCCTCTTTCTGTCTGACTCGGCTTCATATTCAGAGGGCGCTCACCTCATCTTTGTATTTGATGATGTAGGTGTAGATCTCATGCAGAGCAGACATACTGTTGAACTGGTCGAGGTGCAGGCGGGACTGCTCTGCTAAGTAGGCACTCATGTCCTGATCGCTGATTGCTGGCATACGGGAAATATCCGAGTAATATCTAGAGGAGAGGTCAAGCAGAGTTATATTTTCCATCATTCAGAGCTCATTTTCACTGACTTTATGTCTGCAGTCACTTTTCAGAAAGGAAATAAAAGGAGCAAACCTATGCAAGGTTCTCTAAAGGCCAATTAAACACAGAACTTAAAACATTTAGTAAATGCTTGCATTTTACTTCATTTAAAAAAGATGGATGAGCAAAATCATAGTAAAGCTGCATGACGTAATATTCACCGAAATGGGATAAAATACATTGTGAATATGTGCAAATTTCTCCTAAGGTGCTGCACTTTTTATGCTGCTTTAAGAACCTGGTAAAAGGTTCTGATCAAAAGGAGGAAGAAATGCCATTTTATTTACCTCATATTGATGATAAATTGTAAAATCCGCTTAAAAAAACTTTTAGTATGCATGCTTTTTTTCACTATATTTATTTAACTAAGAAAAAATTACAGGAAAAGCACATTCCATTTTTTTCCTAAATAGACCCATCAGTCTTTGTATGTGCCGACCAAAGAAAACTAGAATTTTCTTTGTTGGTTTATAATTTCTGATTATTTAATGAAAACAAACTTTTGTTTTAAAACATAATTTAACTTCTCTGAAACAATAACTGGGTTTAAAGTCATTGGTGGATGCGATCAGGTGCCACATGTCTATATTTTAGTATATAATTAATGTATAAAAGTTATTTTCAATTCAGGTTTTTATCCGTTTGTAAACTGGAGGAATGGGAAACAATCTGGAAATGGGAGCATATTTTTAAACTCCACTTTCCTTATACTTTCTGATTCAGATCTGGATCAGAGTAAACAAAAACGTCCTAATTTAAAGTCTTAAAAAAAGTTTCTTGTGGTGATTTTAAAAGCTAAATCTCAATGATAATCCATCATTTCGAAGTATGATACATAATAACATAACAGGAGGGTTCAAACATAAAAAAAATTATGATACAGCATATATTCTTACTTCTAATATCGTATAGGAATAATCGGATACATGAAGCTTTGCTTAAGTTACTACAGCTGAGGTATTTAGAGCAGCTGCTTACTGGCAGCCTGTTCAACATGTCTGACATAAAGAAAGAGACAATCTGATGGAATTAACAGCAACATTTTTCACCAGTGCTTCTTTTTATTAATCTGGACATTCAAGTCTAAAATTCTCAACTTATAAAGAAAGAAATGTCTCAATGTCGACGCATTTGCAAAGTTTCCCTTTAAAAAAAAAAGACATATGACTCGTGCTTTAAACGCTACTCAGACAAAACTGGATTCAGACAAAGTCAACTCAGACATCCTGTGTCTGACTCAGGAGGAGCGAACCCCAGAAGTGGAGGAATTTCGTTTTTTTTTTTCTATTCTTGAAGCTCGCAGGGCTAAACTTAAGCAGGTCTGCTTTTACTGATACTTCTGGCTCTCTGAAAACACTGTAATCTATATTAATAAGCCAGGAATGAGGCAGCAGTAATTACAGCACATAATTCCTGGGCCTAATTTAATTCAACTATGTATTTATGCTTTAAACGCCTGTAGCAGCTAAAGTTCAACCTATAATGTTGTTCTAATCTTACAGCTGGCTAATAGCGTAATTAACTTTGATCTTGCAGCTCAGACTTATTTTCCCAGCCTCCAGCCGCTCAACTGGAATATAGTTTCCATTTCAACATCGGGACTGTGGATTTGTTTTTCACCTCTGGTCAGATTGACTTTATTTGAGGCTGATTTTCTTTGGGTCACCTTGGACTTACCTTTCTACCCAGCTCTTGTAGTTGGGAATGTCTTTAGCGTAAAGAAGCTTATTTGAAGGCGAATCTTTTCCCAGTTTGTGCTCAGACGTCGAACATGAGTCCATGAAGGTCTGAGCCACAACAGAGAGGCAGGCATCCGTGATGCTGTTTTTATGGATGTCAAAAACAAACTGGGGGTTCTTGATCACGTTTACCCAGAAGCGCAGAGGGAGACTGGAGGCAGCAGAAGAAAACAAACACATCAGAATAACATTTCACTTCCTCTATGTTATACATACAGCTAAATACACCGCTTCTCCTCAGCCTAACTCATAGGTTTTATGCTGGATTTAGGTTTAAGGCTGATGCTGTGTGATGGTTCATTCTGATACTGATGAAGCCTTTCTGAGTTGATGAGGGTATACAGTATTTAAGGATAATTAATCTATTGAAAGAGGCAATGCTGACAATTTCTGTTTTGGCCTTTAGAAGAAAAAATAATGAACAGCATCACAGGTGTTGAACAGATTATGCGGGTTTAGGTATTTCGCCCCTTTAACAATAAGCAGATGCATAATAGACTAAAATCCTACCTTTACTTTGAAATTAGTTTTTAATTGCTTTGCCATCTATTGAATAGCAAGTCACTATTTTATTGTTTTCTTTGTCTGGGATGATATTTCACCACCTAAAATAAAAAATAATAATAAAAAAAACACTTCTATGCTGTTTTCAGCTTTTATTACTGCAAAACCTTTGAAAATTTAATTGAATAATGTCTGAACTTCCCCCCAAAAAGGAGGTCAGGCTGTTTGTAGCCTAAAGTAATGATGCAAGGTTTAAACCGACTACAGTAGCAGCCATTCAAAATGGCACTTCCCAGTACAAAAGCCATCCGAATGCGTAGCAAAATCCCCTCCAACTTCCGGCCACTGGCGTTCTACTGGGCGTGCATGTTTTTACTCTGACTCCACCCTTTCACTGAATTACAGGGTCAGACCAGGAGATGACGCTTCTCTGTAGATCTAAATGTCCACAAATCATGACAGAAATAATATTTTGTACAAAGATTGATGTTATTAAAGGAATTGTAGGGGACCAGCCAAGGGCCAATAAAGGGAAGTGGGGTAATTCTGAATGGCTACTATTACCGTATGTTTAACTATGGGCATGAGATACTTTCCAACATTTTTTTTTTATTTACCATTAAGCACACATGAAGTCTCAGCTGACTAAAGCCTGCATTCAGTGTTCCAGAGGGTTGGAGAAATGATAGCAATACTTCCAAACATTCCTAATGTTCTAAGATTGGGTTTTGATTTTTAACGTCGTTCTTTACATGAGTGGCAATGTAAGTCTATATGATTAGATTAAAAAAAAAGTTTCCTGGGAAATTTGAGTTGTTTTTTTAAGAACATCATCCCCTGTTAACCTGTTGTTTTTAGTACTTCCAGGGAGCAAACCAAACCCTCTGCTTCCTACCAGTTGCTCTTCCAGGTGTGTCGTACGTCGTAGTCTGTGATGGAGTGTTTGTCTGCTTGCTCGTCCAGGAAGTCGAACATGTACTTGATGGCCAGCGGCAGCGCGCTTCCTCTGTGAGCTGTGCTGAAGATGGTCTCAAACAAGTCGTCCACAAACTTCTGTAATGTACCCTGAAATGAGCAAAGCAGGGTTAATAAAAGGAAAAAAATATATTACAATTTACCTGTAGTTTAGTTTAAAGACAAAAGTTATGTTTCTTGAGCTTCAAACCCCTAGCAAAATTTAATTTTGCAGGGTGTTCAGTCCCTTAAATCTTTATGAAGAATCAGAATCCTGTGAATTGAGTTGGGTCCACCTTTCCTGTCAATCAGCCAGGGAAACCATTTTAAAGTTCTTTAATAATGTCCTTAAAATTCTAACCTCCTTTACTACACTTGTTCAGGTTTTTATTTTAAAGATGTATATTTAAATCTACAAACAGTGTTTTGTCCTTATTTAGTAATAACAAACTTCGCCCCTCTCAGTACCTAAAAGAAGATACTACTTTAGTAAAACAGTGTGAGATAATCTTAGTGAATTGATAAAATGGATCATTCTTTTTGGCCACCTGTGTTTTTTCTTCAGCACCAGTTGAGTTCATTTGCAGTTTAAACCTTAAACACTCAGTTCACACACAGATTAGTGGCCTAAAAGGCTGAGAGGTGTGTGGTATTAACATCTTAAATGACAAGCTAAAGAGCATAAGCCGGGTGCTCGTGTCTGACAAGCTTTGTGACATTTTAAAACAGGTGGTGTCGCCTTGTTAACATAATCTTTCTGACCTTTGTTTTATAGTACAAGGTGTTTATTTCCCACATTTCTGTTATTTTTACTTTTCCGCTGCAGTTGAATTTTAAAATAAACGAACCAAAAAAATGATTTAGTCTCAAATAAAAAGCTTATCTTACCTCTAGTCTCATCACATTACATTTTATCTGGAATTGGCTTGCATTAAATGTGCAGATCCATATAGTAGCATTGGCTTCCTATGCCTTCAGTGCTGAAGCATACATGATTTAATATGCAGCTTAACCAGTCTATTATAGGTCAGCAACTTAGAGACACTAAATATGTGCCACTGTGTGGGTTTTACTCAAATGCTGCAGCAATATCTCCATCTATCTCCCGAAGCTCTATGCAGATACTCTGTCTGCGCTGATGAAGATTAACCATCTTTACAAGCAAAGCTATAGTTTAGTTACCGATTAATTAGCTATTGTTTATTTATCTAGTTGAGGCCACCCAAAGATTGCTTTAAGAAATTGAGCTTTAAGCTCAAATATAGAAAAACAATTGCCAACATACAGTACTTGATGTAGTAAGGCAAAAGGTAAGATCAGCCTTAGTTTAAACTCATAAATGTTTGCTTTGTTTCTCTGACTGTGACTAACTTTTTGTGCTCTCTTTCATCCTCTGACATGGAGCTCATCTGCCTGGCTGTGTATTTCCTGGTAGGGGCTACCTTTGACAGTTGCCTTTTGTATCTATGCTTCTTTTTCTATCTCTGCTTCTGCCTCCTTGAACCCCAGTCGGCCTCAGCAGATGGCCGCTCACACTGAATTTGGTTCTGCTGGAGGTTTCTTCCTGTTAAAAAGGAGGTTTTCCTCTCCACTGGCGCTACAAGCATGCTTGGTATGAGGGATTGCCTTCGAGTCAATGAGTTGATACAATCAGTTCGTTTTTCGTAGATAGGAAACTTTGAACCAATCTGACTGGAAGATCTGGTTGAATTGTTTCTGTAAAGTGCCTTGAGATTACAAGTGCTGTGAAATCCTTAAAGCCTTTCAGTAGCATCAGTACATGGAAAAGGTAACAGATCTGTTTTGATTGCCTGTTTAGCAAAATACAATGTCGCTAAAACAAAATCAAAAATAAAACTAGTTCTATCTCCTGAATAAAATAAAATAAATCAGATCTGAGAAAATGAATAGACAAGATGTCAGCTAACCAAAGAAAGACAGTCATGTTGAGAGGACAAAGACAAGATTTGTGTCTCAACTGAATTTAGCACTCTGTTTATTTTGTTTTCATAAAGCAGGACCAGATTTTCAATTCTTCAACAAATTACCGTCTCCTGACACCCTCAGTATCAACCGCCCTGCAGTCCCTGCACCCCCAGGCCAATTTCTATTAATCTGTTTTCTCTTATTGGCAGTGGAAATTGAAAGGCTGGCTCACTTATAACTGCTGCCCATTGCCCTATTTACCTCCATAGTTTTAAAATCAAATAAGAGCCGCAGCACTGGCAGACAAGGAAGGATAGATGAGCACACAGACCATTCCATAACAAAATATTCAAAAAAGTGGAATCTGAAATTTAAAATGAGAATTATGGATTTCTTTTAAATATCCATAAATTTAGGAATTTTTTAGAAACTGTTACCTTGGATACATTGGCATTTATATATATATATATATATATATATATATATATATATATATATATATATATATATATATATATATATATATATATATATATATACACTATATTGCCAAAAGTATTTGCTCACCTGCCTTGACTCACATATGAGCTTAAGTGACATCCCGTTCCTAATCCATAGGGTTCAATATGACGTCGGTCCACCCTTTGCAGCTAGAACAGCTTCAACTCTTCTGGGAAGGCTGTCCACAAGGTTTAGGAGTGTGTTTATGGGAATTTTTGACCATTCTTCCAGAAGCGCATTTGTGAGGTCGCACACTGATGTTGGACGAGAAGGCCTGGCTCTCAGTCTCCGCTCTAATTCATCCCAAAGGTGTTCTATCGGGTTGAGGTCAGGACTCTGTGCAGGCCAGTCAAGTTCATCCACACCAGACTCTGTCATCCATGTCTTTATGGACCTTGCTTTGTGCACTGGTGCACAGTCATGTTGGAAGAGGAAGGGGCCAGCTCCAAACTGTTCCCACAAAGTTGGGAGCATGGAATTGTCCAAAATGTCTTGGTATGCTGAAGCATTCAGAGTTCCTTTCACTGGAACTAAGGGGCCAAGCCCAGCTCCTGAAAAACAACCCCACACCATAATCCCCCCTCCACCAAACTTTACACTTGGCACAATGCAGTCAGACAAGTACCGTTCTCCTGGCAACCGCCAAACCCAGACCCGTCCATCAGATTGCCAGATGGAGAAGCGCGATTCGTCACTCCAGAGAACGCGTCTCCACTGCTCTAGAGTCCAGTGGCGGCGTGCTTTACACCACCGCATCCGACGCTTTGCATTGCACTTGGTGATGTATGGCTTGGATGCAGCTGCTCGCCCATGGAAACCCATTCCATGAAGCTCTCTGCGCACTGTTCTTGAGCTACATGAAGTTTGGAGGTCTGTAGTGATTGACTCTGCAGAAAGTTGGCGACCTCTTCGCACTATGCGCGTCAGCATCCGCTGACCCCGCTCCGTCAGTTTACGTGGCCTACCACTTCGTGGCTGAGTTGCTGTCGTTCCCAAACACTTCCATTTTCTTATAATACAGCTGACAGTTGACTGTGGAATATTTAGGAGCGAGGAAATTTCACGACTGGATTTGTTGCACAGGTGGCATCCTATCACAGTTCCACGCTGGAATTCACTGAGCTCCTGAGAGCGACCCATTCTTTCACAAATGTTTGTAAAAACAGTCTGCATGCCTAGGTGCTTGAATTTATACAACTGTGGCCATGGAAGTGATTGGAACACCTGATTCCAATAATTTGGATGGGTGAGCAAATACTTTTGGCAATATAGTGTATATATATATATATATACCTATATTGTTTTTTTAATTAGAAAAGAGAGGTGACAGAAAAAAATTAGAACTTATCAGTTTTTTGGTTAAACATGATTTATGTTGCTTTTATTCATGTGCAGTCGATAGATGACTTTTGACAGATGATTTTCAGCACTCTGATTCTTCTGGGAAAAGCAAAGGAGGAGGCTTGGTCATAGGATAAAAAAAGTGTCATCACAAGAAAAAGATCTCCACATATTTCTTTTGAAATAATGAAACAAAAGAGTCTACTACCTTCCTGAACGGACAAACTGATCACCACAAAAACAAGCCTGACATTGCAATAATTTTAGAAGAACGAGTAAAAATGTAGACAAAGCAAATGGGGCTCTCCTTATTTCATCATATAGATCAGGGGTGGGCAACTCCAATCATTGAGGGCCGGTTTGCTGCAACATTTAGATTCATCCTTGGTCCAACAAACCTGAATCAAATGGTTGAATTACCTCCCCAGTATGCAATCAATGTCTCCAGAGTCCTTTTAATTATCTATTTACTTGATTCAGGTGTGTTTAGTCAAGGACATATCTAAAAGTATACAGGCCGTGCAGGACTGGAATTGTCCACTCCTGTAGTAGATCAACATGAGGTTGAGTCTGATATCTCACCTCAAAGTCAAGAGAAAGTTAAGGCAGTCATTAGATAATTATACTATATGATAACATGATTTCCTATTAACCTAATATACCTCAATAATAAACTTGCCTTATCATGTTACATGCATAGTCACATATAATATAATCTCTGTTCTAGGAATACCTCTTTAACCTCTGGAGATTATCTCACAAAGAAGAATTCTTCAGAAAGTTAAGAACATTATGGACAACAGTAAGCATCCTCTTCGGAAGATTTTTAAATGACAACAGCGTCTTCAGTAGGAATCCTTTCCAGATCTGGTGTAAAACAGTCTGCTACAGGAGATCCTTCCTACCTACAGCTATCAGCACCTGTTTAAAAAATGACCTATGAGTTACTATAACATTTAATTACCCTGGGATTAATAAAAATATTTCTTAATTTAATTGACTTGAATAAAGAGTGATATATTTTCTGTAATAAATATTTGTTGTTTTGTTATCCTGCCATACTTATTCAAGCAAAATAAATCAACCAGCTGTGAAACCGAGCTGTCTGATTTGTGTTGATTTTGAGGAAAGATAAACTGCTCCCAGCTAACATGTATCAAATAAACCAGCTGGATTCTTCTGAATCAAACAGACTAAGACACTTTATTGTGAGTAAAAGTTTTTTTTAAAAAGTTCATTATTTTGAGTTTAATCCCGTCAAAGTCTTAGGTTATGTAAGCTCTCTGCTTCTCATTCAGTCCTCTGTGCCTTACTTTTGTGGCCAACAGCCTGGTGAGGTAGATCTCAGAGACCATCTTGCTTCCTCGGTCTCCCTCCCTCTGGTCTGAGTGGTCATGGTTCTTCACCAGATGCCAGAGTTTGGTCCCACTCTCCAGATCCGGTGTGATCATTGGGGTTCTGGACCGTAGGCTGTCGGGGCTGCTGGCTGTCCTCAGCATGCTCTCTGAAAAGAGAATCATAACATAAAAACATTCATGAGGAATGCGTGAGTTCTTCTTTAAAACAATGTTATATTAAAAAAAAGATGCTTCTAGTTTACACAGAAGCACAATATTCCTTCAATATTTCTCTCCCCTTTTCTCTACCATCTGTGTCTGTTTCATTATTTACAGGGTGGGTGTCAAAGCTGATTAGAGTGAAGCAGCAAGCTATCTGCAACAGCTTCTTATAGGATAGAGAGGGGGGTGTTGCAGAGGTGCGGTGAACAGAGGAACATGATTATCTGCTCAGTAGTTGCTGCTCCTGGGGCAGAAAGCGGGATCGGTTTTGTTGTTGGAGAAAGGAGAGTGCGTGAGAAGAAGAGTAGAAATGTGAAGGCGCTGACTGGGAGAAGTGGGTGGCCGGTTAAATGGACAGAGAAACTAAAAGGTCAGGATAAAGGGGGGTGAAAAGGAGAGTAATAGAACAACATGAGATCGTAAAGGGAAAGAAGCTGACTGGGGTGGGGTACCTGCTTCAGTCAGCAGGATTTGACTTCAGAATCATCATGACTAGAGGAGGCCAATTTCTCTCCCTCTCATGTACAGCTCCTTCCACGCCTACACCTAGAACGTTCTAGTTTATTCCCCGAAAAGGTTCAAAGAACTATAATGTAGCTATAATATATTCTATGTTGAAAAAAACAATTAGATCTTGTTGACAAGTGAGCACATAATAGTAAAGTGCTTCAATGCTTTCATGCTTCTAGGTCATAGCCATTCCAAAACATTAAAAACAATCCAGTGGACTTGGTTTCCAAGTTTGAAGACGTTTCACTTCCCATCCAGGAAGCTTTTTTCAATTCTAAATGTCAGGAATATTGTTGAGTTAGAAGTTTTATACAGTAGCCCAACAAAGCCTTGTTTTTGTTTTTAAAACATGCAAAATGAAACAGAAGAAGGGATTCACCCATTTGGATTCTTTTGTCAGACTGCAATACCCCATACCTATCTAAGTGTCTGAAAGGTCAGTCATTAAAGGGGATTGTTGGATTGGCTGAATGGTCCATATTGCAGAAGTGTTAGTGGCATGAGTCATTTGCACCAAACACAAAACCATCATAAAAAAACAGCAAATCTGCACTTTTGGGTGCTTTTGCATGCCATATATTTTGCCATGAATTTGCCTGGTGAGTGAGAGAATTAGCCTGGTGGGTGAAAGAAAGTGAAAGTGAAACACTAGATCATCAAATCTGCTGGTTGATAGTTTCAGAGCTATGGCTGGATCTTAAGGTAAGGAGAGAAGGCATTCTGCAGCTCCGACGGCAGAGAAATTAGAGCAAGAACCCCGGCAGACAGAACTAGATTGGGGGAGAGGGGAAGGCAGCTGGCCAGTGATTTTGCTGGAGCTAAGGGAGGAGGAAGAATGATGAGCAATGTAACATTCCTTCTAGGGCTAAATTAAAAACATCTTTTTTTAAAGCCATCTTTTTTAAAAGGTTCTTTTGGCTGCATTTCTTCACTCTGGTCCCTGATTACTTGTAAGAAAATTTGATGTAAAAATACATAAAAGTTCAGGTGCAGCAGCACCTTTGTTCCACTGCAGTCAGCAACAACTTGCCATTCCCTTCACTAGAATTGCATTTTTTGCCTCGCTTCGCAGCACTAATGAGACATTCTTGAGATAACATGTATGAAATATATGAACACATGATAGATGCCATGTAGCTGATGTCACAGATGTTTTAATCTACCGCAGCTATATTGAGGTCCTGCTCTGGTCCCCTGCGCGTCAAACTTGCAATCCGTATGTTGTGGCATCGGGTGTGACAATATGAGGACAGGTTGTGTACAAGATATATGTATCAATCGTGAAAGGAATAACCTGGAAGCCTATCAGTTGAAGAAATGTGTTGAAAAGAGTCTGCAGGGACTTTGTACAGATCAAATCTAATAACACCATTTTTTTCTGTGTGCCATTTAAGCTTACAGGCATTTAAATGAGAAGGATCTATTCTGGACAGAGGTGCCACAGAGCTAAGCTAAGCTAAGCGTTCGTACTCAATATGGCAGTAGTGCAGTAGAATCATCAATGCTTCTGAAACATATCTATAATAAATTAATAAAAAGCAAAGGTGATTCTAATTCCTGTGAAACATGGAAAAAGTCTGCATTTTATTTAGGCTGAAAAAAGTGTAAGAAAGAGCATAATGTAAGTAGATAACAAGAAGGCTAAACAGAGTGCACCAGAAAGGAGCTAATTTGTTCTTCAGAGATTTGAATGTCTGATAATCTTGAAGCATAGTTGATTTGAAATGTTTGCAGCTTTTCGTAGAGATCAGTATGGATATATAATATAATATCTTTAATTAACAGAGATGCAGTATGGTATTTAGTATTTAGTTATGCTAGCCTTGCTAAACAGGAAAACTGGTAATAAAGTATTTGGAAATCTTTTCTTTAAGGGACAACAATAAAACCCATTTTACAGAGACTTGTCTCTCATATACACAGAATGGCATCACCTCTGTTTCTTATGCAATTTAAAATTCTGTTTTTATATCTTTTTGCAAATTAAAAGTGAAGACGTAATTGTCTATAAAAATTGTTGCCATGGCAAGGCAAAAAGTAAAACATTTATTGTGAAATGTATTTTGATATTACAGGATCCATAACAAAAAAATATGCCGAAGTGTCTTGCCTTAAGTTCTATAGTCCATCCTAAAGTTTTAACACATTGGTTGATACATTGGGTTCATTTAAAAAAGCTCCTTTGCCTTCAGCATACATCAAATCAATGGCATGTCAGAATCTCTGGGGTTCAAGGGGTTAACAACACCCACTTGGTATCAGATAAGAGTTGCGTTTTTTCTTGGATTTGTTTCCACAGGGTAATTTATTCTGTAAATAATTTGATTTTCCACTAAAGTTTACAATACTGGGCTTCTATCTATGTGACTTCTAGGTGTCCTTTCTCTTTTTCACTCTGTCAGCCAGAGAGCGAGTTGTCTGCTTTAATGCCCGTCATTTATGGACTGCTTTGGCAATAGCCGTGGAATAGCCTTGGCCTGGGCTGATGGCAATGGATATAAAGGATTGGCATTCACTCAGGGGGGAGGTAAGAAAAAATGGGTCCCAATCACGACCCTGACAAACAAAGAGTGAATGAAAGAGAGCTCAGACTTGTGGAGTGAAGGCAGGCAAAGAGAGAAACCACTGATGGAATCATTTAAATGGAATCGAGCTGAGATGAGAAACCAAGCCTTTACCGTATCTGCTGAGGCTCTTTGTGAAGGTGGAGGAGTTGGAGATGTTATACGCAGAGTTCTGCTTTGGCACCAGAGCGATCACGGAGCCATCTGTTACCTGCACAACAAAAACACATCCCTGCTTCAGGAATCTCTTGCAGTGGGTTGTTTATTCACGCGTTCCTTGGCTCATGCTTGCTGTGTGTTTGTGTACCTGATAGTGAGCCAGCGTATTGAGTCTTTTCCAGTCGTTGTCGATCTTGGTTGTGACATCTTCATCCTGAAGAATGATTCGGGCCATCCGACCCTGACGCCATTCTTTTAAAAGAGTTAGAAGAAGTTGAGAGCATTGCAAATAAAAAGCCCATGTGTCTCTGTGGGTTAATGACAACCAGGTCCAAACACGTAGTAGCTGGGGGAAAAAAACCCGAGAAAGAGCTCTGTACATGTCAGTTGCTCTAAATCAAGATTAAAATTAAAAAATTATTTTTTCTTCTTTATTTTATATAATAATTACATATAGCCAGTCGGCCTCAGCAGATGGCCGCTCACACTGAGACTGGTTCTGGTGGAGGTTTCTACCTGTTAAAAGGGAGCTTTTGCTCTCCACTGTCGCCACAAGCATGCTTAGTGTGAGGGATTGCCTTAGAGTCAATGGGTCGATGCAATCAACTGGTTTTCAAGAGATAGAAAATTTTTTATCAATTTGACTGGAGGATCTGGTGAATTGTAAAGGGCCTAAATATGACGGGTTTTTAATTGGTGCTATACTGTATAAATAAACTGAATTTAATATGTTTACTTTCCTTTTCTTAATCATTTGTATTGCCTGTATAATAGGTAATTAACCTTTGTTTTTTCTCATGTACAGCACTCTTTCCACTAAAATGTGATTATAAATAAACTTTCCTTGTCTTGCCTCAAAAGACTCTAATTGGCATAGAATCATTGAAAGATTAAGACAAATTGGATGTTCAATTTCCCAAAAATTCCAATTGTAACTGTTAAACATCTTTCCACAGGTTGAAATATACTATCAATGGTTAACAAAATTGAAATTGTAATTGATCCAACTCCAATATGGTGTTTACACAAAGCTGCAAGTCTTACCGAGGTCCATATCAGAAGCCTTGGGCCTTTGGGAGTAAGGGCTGCCTTTGTACATGGCATCAAGCAGCTTCTCTTTGACCTGAGTTATGGTGTCACAGTTCAGACACTTGACCGTCACCTCTGATGCGTTTTCATTTTCCGGGTTAACACAGTGCAACGTCTGGCAGAAAAGGAAAAGACAGAAAGGATATGATGATAGACAGTCAGTATTGGGCCTCATCTGGAGAACGTGATGCAAACAGCTACCTGTTTAGATGTCAGAATGGTTTTTCAGATAGATTTGAAGGTACCTGAGAGCGTTTTTACAGCTATACAGCAGCCACTTCAAACCTTGGTTACGTTCCCAGTCTGTTCAGACTGTTTGTGTCCAAAACAACTCAACAGTCACACTTGAGTGAAGACCAAAACAACTATAGAGGAACCTCATGTGCACCAATGTGCTTTCAGTCCAAAACATAAGTGCTTTGTTTTGATAGAAAATATAGTTAGCATTGGGCAGAGGATGGGTCACTTCATAGCCAGATCACATCCCCTCTCCAAACAGAACTGATATTGAAGTGCCGCCCTCACTGCGGAGGGAAATCGCTGCCACTCTGCATATGACTGACTAATCAAGGAAGCAGCCTTCCGCAGACAAACAGCTGATTAGTGCGACTAAAGCTCAGTAACCTGTCAAGTGACTGAGACCAAACGGCCCCCAAGACACAGGAAGTTTACTGACCAGTGTTTTGTAGTCAATCTGTTGCCTGATGAGTTTGTCTTCGCTGAGGGAGTAGCGAGCTTCTCCTGTGATGGCATCAATGGGTCCCTTCTCCATCTGCTGCTTGATGGCACAGTACAGCATGAACAGAGGCTCGCCGGCGCACTCCTGGCGAGGGAGGAAGCACAAGGATATCAGAGTTATAAGCAGTTCAGGCAAACTAGATTTTTTCTTCATGCTGGGTTTGATTTTAAGCTTTGAAAAGAAGGAAAATAAGCTTGGGAATTCAAATAAATACCCAACTTAGGGGTGGATAATAACTCTGCATCAATATGTATCTTAATATAATTTATTCAATAAGGATGATTTGCTGTTGTTTATCGACTGATGTTCCCATTTTTTACTATGTGTTTATGTGTTTTATTTTAAGCTTTTTTTTTCTTAGATGCTATATTAAAGGATTATTATAAACAAAGCAATATAACTGTCATGGTTTTGGCTATTTGGCTTTTATTTTGTAGATATAAAATCTAAAAAAGTAAAAAAAGACAATCCACTGGACAGTTCGAGGTTTTTTACAGTAGTCCATCAAAACCTTGTTTTTGTTTTGAAAATGTGCAACGCTATTCCTGACATTTTGAATTAAAAAAGCTTCCTGGATGCGAGGCGAAACGTCTTCAAACTTGGAAACAAAGTCCAGTGGATTGTTTTTTAACTTTTCTTGGAATGGATTATGAGTGTTAAAAATGGGGGAATCTTGTTGTATTTCGGTAGTGCATGAGTCCTAAATTCAACTATTGCTTCTTGAAACGACCATCAGCGTTTTTTTACTCTGGTGGTTGAAACACTACGCTTCAGATGGTTTTAGTTGTTGTTATACACCTGGTTAGAAATATTCTTTATAAGGTCTTTGCCCAATAAAGTGTTCCTGCTTTAAACCAAAGGGAACCTAGTCTTTAGACTCCCAAAGGAAATCTGTTGAGTGAGCTAAAGAGAAACAGTAAGAGATGACTGAACTCTAAATGATCTACTACAAAGTACAGACAATGGAAATATTAAGAATTGAACCATTCTATTTTTTGTGCTTAATGCCATCAAATTAAACAATATGCTTCTCTGATCGATCAGTATGATAGCTGTTGGCCAGCTCTATAGTAGAATGAGACTCATCAGAAATCAGACATGTCTAAACCAGCTTTACCCTTTAAACGGATGTAGGACACTGCTCTATTCAAAGTAGATGATTTCTTGAATTTTTATTTGTGATTCCTGATATTTTTACCAGAATTTCATCTCTTTAGAAAAGCGTTGGAACTGAATACATCTTGAAACATGAAGAATAAAGTTGTGTTTCTCTGGATGACTAAAAGCCGTTGAGCCTCAGTTAGCAGACACATATGTTGCGCTATAAGTATGCTTCTTTGTCCTCCGTCCTCCATCAAAGACACTTGCCAATCAATAGTGTCATTAGTCATCACTTGGGCCCGAGGAAAAGTCTCCCAGCTGATGGAGCAGCAGTTTAGATGGAAGAAAGAGGACACATCATGACCAATACTCATCCTGACAAGAGTTTAATGACTGACTGTGCGCTGCTCGGGGAGATACTTCAGACTGAGTGTGTATGTGGCTGCAGATGAGGACGGGGGAATGGTACAAATTTATCCGTCTCACCTTCAAGCACACTCGATAACTCGTTTCTTTTCTCTAACACACACATTCCCTCTTTTTTTCTACTTCTGTGTCCCTCCAACATCAATCCACAATGTCTCATTGTCATCTCATATCTGTAATCCACTTTTTCCTTTCTTGTATTTTCTCCTTACGTCTCCTGACTGAAAAAAATATAACTCCATTTCAATTGCTCTGCAGCTACAAGTCATAATTACTAAAAACTAACCCTGAGCAAACAAAAAACTACATTTTAACAAAAAAAAGATAAATGTAGATTTAAAGGATAAATCTTTTTCACACAGTGTGCGTTTGTCTTCAGTCCCGGTTAATCAAAACTTTGGCACTGTCCCCCCAGCTCTACATACTATATCTATTAACTGAGAAAGTTTTTTTTTTTTTTTTTTTTTTTTTTGTTGCCTTTTTTTGTCTCAAAACGGCTCAAGCTTGAGTATTTTAAGATCATTTACTAGGATGTTATGTTCCCTATTCCCATTGAAGCACCAGTTCCTCATGGAGGATTTTGCATGTAGGCCAGAATGTTCATGTTAACAAGCAGTGGCAGGTGTTTTCTGCATTTGACCTGTTGTACATTGATTGTGACATACGGCAAGTAATGCCTTTATTTCTTGCCGATTCTCCTTTAAAGGTTAGATCTGCTGAGTGTGTTACTCATAGTTGTTCTTTGAACTTATTCTCCCACCTAAACTGAGGATTTCTGCAGATTTTCCAGAGTTTAAATAAGCCTCCTGACTGCTTATCTGAATAAAGCCATCTTTGCCTGACCACTCACTTTAGATGTGGCCCCATGTCTTGGTGGGTTTGCAGATGTGCCAAACTCTGTTTTTCGATGATTTAGTGAACACAGTTCATGGAGTATGATTAAACCTTGGGATATTGTTTTTTAAAAATGTTATTTTACTTCACTCATCAACGCTTTTCGCCCTGACCTGTATAAGAGTGTATGGCTGCAGGGTGGACACGTCTTGTGTATCTCATGGCTCTCTTCTGGTAAACTTAAACCAAGCAGTTTTAACATTTAATTTGAACATTACTGATATTTGCAACTTAATTTTGCCAAGCCAAAACTCTTATAATAGATATCTTTAAATAGATTTTGATAAATCAACACTAAATCCCAGATATGTGTATATACTTTTTTGATAAGTCATAATGGGCTTCATATCTATATAAATTACATTCATACTAACCCAGATAACATTATAGCTATGTATAATTGGTAATTCTGAATAGTTTCCCTAGTCAATTAAATAATAAAATGGCTCACCATATCCCCATTTTTTTTCTACATAAAATAACGTCTCCATTTTTCGTGTGATCAAATGTCTAGTTTTAACTAACTTAAAAATCAAAAGCCAGCCGAATGGCAGCCAACTTCCAGCCACTCATTCTACAAGGTGTGCATATTTTTTTACTCTGATCCACCCTTTCACTAAATTACAGGGTCTGACCAGGAGAATGAACTTCTGTTAAGATCCTAATGTCCACAAATCATGACAAAAAGAATATTTTAGTACAAAGATTGATATTGAAAACAGAAATTGTAGGGAACCAGCAAAGGGCACATCAAGGAAAGTGGGGAATCGTTGAGTGGCAACTACTGTAGGTGTAAGTTCTTGAAATTAGGTTTAGTACCGAGCAACAGTAAACTGTGATGTAATATTGGACTTTTTATAACCTGAAAAAGAGCAATTGACGATGATGTGTAACGTGAGGCGAGTGCTGTAATACAGGAGGTTTCCAGGATGCAGAGCCATACACGTCTTGACCTGTCTGCTATGTTCCTTGGTCTTTATGGTGCTTCAATAATGTTCTCTAACAAACCACCAAAGCCTTTACAGAACTGCTGGCTTTACATTATGCTTGGATTCAATTACACACAGGTTTAAATTCTAATTATTAATTTTGCTGGATTTTATTTAGGGTATCAGGTTTAAGAGAATAAATGTAAACACGTCAATTCTTTAGATTCAGAAAAATTTTGAAAATCATTTATATTGTTTTTTCCTCTACCTCTCAGCTTTGCACTTTTTTGGATAAAATCCCAATGAGATACACTGAAGCTTGCAGTGGTAACGTTATAAAATGTACAAAAATCAAAGGGCTGGGATTCATCTTGAAAAAAATATTTTCATTATTAATTTAATAAAAAAGTGACAATTTTTTAGGTTGAAACTTTACCCTACATCCTTCATTCTTTCCCATTTCCTATTTTCCTAACACCTAATTGTTATGCGCTCTCCAATTCGTCTTTCCTCTAACCACCACCAGCGGTGCCGACCTTTAACCTTTTCCTGTCTTCAGTCTCCTTCCTCCCTCATTTCAGCAACACAGGCTTTAAGAAGCTCGTTAGCATCAGGGCCAATTAGGTAGGCAGCTGCTAAAGAGGCAGAGCGAGCAGGAACTGGGGTGTTACGCTTCTGCCTTTGCTGCCTGTCCACTGCAAGCAGGTCTACAGGACGTAGCTCTACACTGCACACTCCCTTGCTTTTATGAAGGCTCTTCAGCCATATGTTGGTGTTAACAGTTGGAAGATAGAAAAACCTCTTATATTTGGGATTGGTGTTTATAGAATGTAAATATGCCAGTAAGTTTAGGCATTAATTATTCATAAGTTATAGAACAGTTAAGACATTTAGCTGCTAATCATTTTGCGTTTAAAAAATCCATTTCCTAATGTAAATCGTTTAATCTTGTCACTAGAAATCTTTAAGAAAGGGATCAAATTTTAAGCCATCATCTGTAAATCAATCTCCACCTTTAGCAGCTTTTCTTTTACTGTATTTATTACCAGGCTGCTATTAAAACAGGATTAGGATATAGGAAAGTCAACTCAAATATGTACAGAGAAGATTGGAAGAAATCAGCCTACAAAGGAAGTATATATGTATACTATATATATATATATATATATATATATATATATATATATATATATATATATATATATATATATATATATATATCGTCTATAGAAGATCATTGCCAGAATGTATTTTTATTGAGGAACAATTTTAAATCAAGGCACATTGCAAGAGAGAGAGCAAAGATAAAAGCAGGAAGACACCAGTACGTGCCACATCCTACAGCCTCTAGGGAGGCAAATGACCTTAAGGGAGAGAAAAGACTGACAGCTCAATAATGACAAAAGAAAGACAAAGATGAAAGAGAGATCAGAGGAAGAGAGGACGTGAGCTTAAAGGAGAAAAAAAACATGAAGATCTGTGAATAACTCGCAGGAGAAAAGGGGGCAAAATTCAAAAAGGAAGGATTGTCTGTCGCAAAAAAACAAAGCATTTAACTGGAAGAGGAAGACAGGACAAAGTTGGATCTAGGATATTTTTTTATTGTTCTTTTTATATTTTTTCTAATTTTGCTTCAAAATTATTTGTGTGGCTCATGTCAGATATATTAATGCTAATTATTGCTTTTGCAATCTCTTAAAAAGCCTTGGCATTTCGTTTTTGTACAGATAAATATTCAAATGACATATATTCGATGCCAGAGCTGCTCAGTTGCACAGTGGGTAGCACTGCTGCCTTGCAGCAAGAAGGTTCTGGGAGTGATTCCCAGCCTGGGGTCTTCCAGCAAGTTCTCCCTGTGCTTGGTTGGATTCTCCCCGGGTACTCTGTTTTCCTCCCACAGTCTAAAAAACAGACTGTTAGGTTATTTGGCTTCTCTAAATTGTCCTTTGTTGTGAGTGTGTGTGTGAATGGTTGCTTGTCCTGTGTGTCTGTTTGTGGCCCTGCGATGGACTGGCGACCTGTCCAGGGTGGACCCCACACTGCAAAAACAATCTAAAAAAAAATAAACATGTCTTAAATGAAGTAAGATTCCCCTTAATTCAAGCAGGTAGATAAGATGATTTGCCCATGGGATGAATATATTTACTCTTAAAATGAGATCATTAGAAGATATGCAGTTGATATAAGAGAAGGCAATTGTTTTTTCTTATTTTAAATGTAAATGGTCTTGTTCCATTGGCAAAGTGCCTCACTTACCTCCTCCAATCAAGAAAAAATTACTTATTTTAAGAAAATTTGACTTATTTAAATTATATTTTTTGCAGTGCACCTCTCACCCGTAGACAGCTGGAGATAGGCACCAGCACACGTTGCTACCCCAGCCGGGATAATGGATGGATATTAGACACCAGAAACACAGTTTGAATATTTTATTAACCAAACTTTTGACTCCAGAGTTTCTGGTGCAGTCTACTCTGTTATAACATAAACTTAAGATGTTTTGACTACACTTCGAATGAAAACGAGTAGCTTTGTCACTGCCTTCTAAAGGACTATAAAGTTTGATACAAACAGCTAAAAAAATATGGATAATCCTACAATTAAGGTGATTAACCTGTTTCATAAACTTTGTGCTTTTCTTTGAATGTCATGTTCTAATATCTACTGTTAAGGCAGTTCGGTGCCCAAGTCACACCTTTTTCTTTATTTATACAGGACATACAGTGATGGCAGTGGAGTAGGGGGCAGGAGATCCAGCAGTATTGCCTACTGATGGTGGTTAGAGGCCCTGGTGGTGCCTCGCTTCTGTCAGTGTGACCCAGGACAGCAGTGGCTACAGTGTAGCTTGCCACCATCAGTGTGTAAATGAATGGGTGAATGACATAAACTAAATAAATTAGGTCAGAGTGTGTTATTGTCCAGTGTGGACAACATAAAGTATACACAAAGAAGATGTGCCTTACCTTGAGGAACTTGTACAGAAGGAATGTAAACCAGTTGGTTAGCATCTTTTCAGCTACAGACTCCGTTCTGACATGAAAAAATAGAAAATATATAAATTAAACATTGCTATGATGACAATATCTAAAAATCTGGATTTGTTAAAGATTTATTTTTTTGACGACATAGAAAAAAAACCTTAAATTTTAGCTAGTTGGATAGTAGATAACAGCTTCAGATAGGGACATTTAAAAGTTTGAAATGACTATCACAAAAGTAGAAAAATGAGAATTGATAAATCAATAAAAAGCACTTAATTTACTATTCCGCTATGGAATTAATCATTTAAAGAGATATTTTGTATGTTTTTACTGAAATAAATCTTTTCAATAGCCTTTTATTTGACCCTTTTTATATCTAAAACATTTTTAATAAGCAGACTGACACCACAGTAGTATGAGCACACTACGAGAATGAGCAGGAGAGTGCTGCAGTTCAGTGTTTTGGCCACAGGTGGCAGTATCATTGGAAAACTCCATCATGCCTCTTTTAAAGAAGTCCAAATATATTCAGAATTAAAACTTCTTAAAGTACTTTAAATATGAAATTATTACATACTGTTCAATAACTGATAAGTGTTTTTAATAAAGAGTAATTTCATTTGAATGTGCTTTACTGGAGACATCCATGTTTTTTAAAGAACACTACTGCCATCTACCGATTTGTGACATCACGGTGCGGTATCGGCTGTTGAGCAAGTCCCAGTGCTTTGTCTGGTGTTTGTCACAACGCGCTATTATCCAAGTCATCTTAAAAACATTCTTCTTCCAAATGTTGGCTACATATAATGTGTTTTTTCTCTGGCCAGAACTTTGATGGCAAATCCTCCCTCTTCAAGTAATCTTCAATAATTGTTGTTGATTGCAGATGTGTCTAGTAGTTCCCATTGATTTTGCTTGTAAAGCGGGGAGAATGGCGCTAGGCTTACTGCACTGTGACATCACTACCGGAAGATGTCAGGAGTGAAGTTTTATTATATTTGGGGGAAAATGGCCGCTCCCAGACTAAGTGATCGTGACAAAAATTATTGAGCTAAATTCATGAAATCACTGCAAATAATGATCCATTGATTATTCCTTGCTGACTGGACTTTTCCTTGAAAAAAGTAAATAAGGTGGTTAAAATGTGAGGACAAAAAATGTAGTATGATTAAAGTAACTCACTGTTTTATCGAGCAAGGACACCATATATGACATTTATTATATAAGAAATTGATAATTACCTTTCATTTTATTTGATGTGTTTTTGGTCTTTAGAAATATGCTGATCAGTAAACAATAGTAATATCTTTTTTATTATTTTGAAAAACATGAAATTTATGCACTAAATACTGAAAAAATTTTTTGTTTATTCTTATATTCTACCCCACTGAACATCCCAGAAGTGCCTCACAGAACAGCATCAACTTTGCACCTCATCTACAATCAACACAAGTTGTTTATTGTATTCAAAGACTAAAGAATCCTGGATGTGTTTATTCTATGTATTTGAGAATTTTTCTTTTTAGTATATAATGTATTTCAATATTTAATGGATTAAAAATATTGTGTATGATTGCAAAAATGGTTTTCCTTGATAGTTATATTAAAAACGTACCAAATTAAGCTGAATAGATGATTCTAGCCATGCTTAAAAAAAATGACTAAACTAACTTTGTATATAGACCTTGACAGTGCAGTTTAAGGCATTCAGCTCTCGTCTTCCTTACCTTCTCAGCAGCAGCTTAGGATGATTTTTGCTCTCCAGGTTTCTGTCTATCAGATCACACAGCAGTTGTTTCAGAACCCCCGTCGCGTACTCCATCTCCCCCTGCAGGGCCGTCATGATCAGAGATGCAACGTTGCCACGATCCCGCATCGAAAATGACCTGACAACACATCAAAAGGGCCGACACACTTTAATGTGCTTTTGTTGTGTCTAATTACAGGGTGTTTCTTTTACATTTAGATGAGCACAGTTCATCTAAAGGTTTCCTTTAGATATTGATCCATATTTGATCTTAACTAAAGGGTGCACGAACTGTGATTTTCATAAAAGCTTTACAGCTAATTTAGCATCTTTGAGTTTTTAATTGTAGAATCAATTTAATCTTAACCTTAATTAATCTTAAAAGTTGCTTTTCTGGCCTAATTTAAGACCAAATGAAACCAATGTTGTTTGTAATATTGTAAGGCTTATTATTAGTAATATCCAGTGTACCATAACTAAATATGAAAGGACAGAGCTTATTTCTCAAAACAGAATTCAAATATTTCAGACACATAAAAATTAACAACAATTTTTTTCATATAAATTAAACCAGTGGATAAAGACCTTTGAGCTTCAAGCGTTCGAATGAATGTCAGCAAGAAGTGCTTCTTAGTCAACAGCTGGCCAAACAGCGTGAGCGCCTTCTCTACGTTGGCTTGGACCTGAATAAAAGCACAGTGACAGATGGACAGCATTACAAAAATATCTAACAGCGATAGAATCACATTTTTGATCTATAAACCTGCTCTAGATCTTTTATTAGACCTATTTAATTACAAATAAAGTTTAGAAAGTAAACATTTTAGCAACTTGTATCAGGATTGATGCATATTTATCAATTACTCTATTTGTAAAGCAAAAAAAAGGGCATCGAACCCAAAGCAGTTCTTCATTTGATACAGTTTGACATGTTGTATAAGAAGAGTTTATGCAAGCATTGATTGAATAAGTGAACACATTAGAAGCCGGGCCTTTCTCTTCCAATGCTGCCTTGTTAAACACCAAGGTAAGGCTGATTGGCTTCTCCTTTTCCCGCTGTGCTGCTTTGTGATGTGTTTGATGTCAAACGATTTGAGCAGACAATCTAACACGATTGTCTGCTTGACATCAGGGGGCGAACGCCTTGGACCTTTCTCCAGTTGAAAAAAATCAATGAAACAAGAATTTTAATTGCCAGCTTTGCCGGAGACCCACGTGCATTTAAACCATTTGACCTGCCTCTGCCCCTGAGCTGTGTGATGAACAGAAATATTTCATTTTAACTTTGATGAATTTCTAACTTTCATTCCTACTCAGCTGTTCAGTTGGAAATACTTAAATAAAGCCTTAAAGCTTCTTTATAACATCTGCGAGTCATTCGGGACTTCATTAGAGGGATGTAGTTCTTGATTATTGAAGAGGGATCAAATGAAAGGTTGTACGCCTTTTATATCTTACCTTTAAAAATAACTCTTGGCATCTACACAAAACATGAATCAAGTCTGGGAGGAGCCAAGAGAGGCAGTCTAACAAACGGCCTCAGTTTATAAAGCCACTTTTTTAAATAAACCATTATTTTCATATTAAATAACGCAATAAAGCAATTATGAACACAAAACCCAAAGACTATTAACACCGTAAATGAGGGCAGAGGAAGGTTCACCACTAACAATCCTTCTGAGTTAAACTGGAACTAAATCAGACAATGTAGAGAGCTTTTAGCTAGCATAGGAGGCTGATAGAAACGTGGAAATAAAGAAAAAGTGTATTTTCTGTAAACTACTAAAATAATAATGACTTTTTTCTTCTATTTTTGGAGAGTTAAACTCTCCAAAAACAGTTTACACGTTCACACTTGTGTAACAGGCAGGAAGATTATTGGAGATGGCTGGGTTTTGTTCAGACTAACATCTAAAAACGTAAACCTATGCTAAATCTAAGGAAAAACAAAACAAAACAGGAGTGTGTCAATTTGTAATCCACCATTTAACAAAGGAAGCAACGTTAAAAAAAGGGCATCATGGGATAACAGATAAAAAGTAGACAGCTTAAGCTATAAATGCCGCTTTGAAGTTCTTTTGCATTAAATGAAAAAAGATTAGAGTCCCACCTCGCATAAACATTTTTCATGTTTTAATCATAGCTAAACAAATCATTCATTTGCTTAAAATGTGGACATACACTATATTGCCAAAAGTATTTGCTCACCTGCCTTGACTCACATATGAGCTTAAGTGACATCCCGTTCCTAATCCATAGGGTTCAATATGACGTCGGTCCACCCTTTGCAGCTAGAACAGCTTCAACTCTTCTGGGAAGGCTGTCCACAAGGTTTAGGAGTGTGTTTATGGGAATTTTTGACCATTCTTCCAGAAGCGCATTTGTGAGGTCGCACACTGATGTTGGACGAGAAGGCCTGGCTCTCAGTCTCCGCTCTAATTCATCCCAAAGGTGTTCTATCGGGTTGAGGTCAGGACTCTGTGCAGGCCAGTCAAGTTCATCCACACCAGACTCTGTCATCCATGTCTTTATGGACCTTGCTTTGTGCACTGGTGCACAGTCATGTTGGAAGAGGAAGGGGCCAGCTCCAAACTGTTCCCACAAAGTTGGGAGCATGGAATTGTCCAAAATGTCTTGGTATGCTGAAGCATTCAGAGTTCCTTTCACTGGAACTAAGGGGCCAAGCCCAGCTCCTGAAAAACAACCCCACACCATAATCCCCCCTCCACCAAACTTTACACTTGGCACAATGCAGTCAGACAAGTACCGTTCTCCTGGCAACCGCCAAACCCAGACCCGTCCATCAGATTGCCAGATGGAGAAGCGCGATTCGTCACTCCAGAGAACGCGTCTCCACTGCTCTAGAGTCCAGTGGCGGCGTGCTTTACACCACCGCATCCGACGCTTTGCATTGCACTTGGTGATGTATGGCTTGGATGCAGCTGCTCGACCATGGAAACCCATTCCATGAAGCTCTCTGCGCACTGTTCTTGAGCTAATCTGAAGGCCACATGAAGTTTGGAGGTCTGTAGTGATTGACTCTGCAGAAAGTTGGCGACCTCTTCGCACTATGCGCGTCAGCATCCGCTGACCCCGCTCCGTCAGTTTACGTGGCCTACCACTTCGTGGCTGAGTTGCTGTCGTTCCCAAACACTTCCATTTTCTTATAATACAGCTGACAGTTGACTGTGGAATATTTAGGAGCGAGGAAATTTCACGACTGGATTTGTTGCACAGGTGGCATCCTATCACAGTTCCACGCTGGAATTCACTGAGCTCCTGAGAGCGACCCATTCTTTCACAAATTTTTGTAAAAACAGTCTGCATGCCTAGGTGCTTGAATTTATACACCTGTGGCCATGGAAGTGATTGGAACACCTGATTCCAATAATTTGGATGGGTGAGCAAATACTTTTGGCAATATAGTGTATGTTTAAAGTTGTACTGGTTGGTATTGAGTGTAATAATTGTTCCATATTTTTGTTTACCGGGTAAGTTTTCTGATGATGGCTCGTCTTATGAATGACGTAGGTTTTTAATGGACTCAAAGTTAAGCAAATACTGAGAAAGGAGGGAAAAGTCCCTGAGGATCAATTCTGCATGTCAGTCAAGATCAGCAGCAGTCATACAATAGGTCAGCACCGTCTTAGGGCCCTGTCACACCAAGCCTTTTTAGAGAGCATATGCCCGACATCCTGCAATCTCCTAAAACGCTGTCATTAGCTGAACTTTCTATGTAATTTTTCAACTTTGGGTGTATACATACAGTATTCATAACAAGTCCAGAACTCATGTCCAATGACAGCCTAATGTATGATAACGCAGATGGGCCCGTTCTGCATTAAAAGTTGTCTTTGATGGTGGTATCAAACTAGCTGCTGTTTACCGCCTGCCCAAAGAAAAACAATAAATAAAAAGAAAAAAGAAAAAGAAAAAAAGAAGGTCTGCAGTCGCAGCAGATTCAGAGTCATGTCTGCTAGGAAGGTTGTTGGTCATGGGTGTGAGCATCACACTCACCCTATGACAGCGATGAAATCTGGAGGATTACAGACGTGTTTCCTCCTGTGATCCCCTTTTATACCAAAACGCTGCCAATACGCCATTATACAGTAGCTGTAAGTTAGAAACACGTTCAGTGGTCATCTAAAATACGTCAAATATGTTGATATGTGTTGGAAATAAGTTCTTGATAATTTACACATGCGTTATGCACATGTTACTCATAGGTTTTGGATAAGCTGGACGCCACAGCTTATGAGTAACTTACAATTAATGTATGTCAACGACCAGATAAGGGGAGTGGCGGCCTAGTGGTTAGGAATAGGGCTTTGAATCCTGAGGTTGTGAGTTCGATCCCCCACTTCCACAGACTGCCACCCTGAGCAAGAACCTTAACCGCACAATGGCAGCTCACTGCTTCCCAAGGGAATGGGTTGAATGCAGACACTTATGCCCCACATATGGCATACACTGGCATACATCAGGGAATTTGACATATGATGATGTGAACCAGCATGTTTCAGCAGTATCCAATGTATACCAGCAGTTTTGCCAGATTTTCCGTACGTCAGGCACATGCTGTTCTAAATCGTCATGGTGTGACAGGGGCTTTAGCAACCATTTTAGTGTTAATATCTGAATCATTGGTCAGTCTGCAGGGCCATGCAAAAATTGTTCTAGTATTCTGAACTACAATCCTTAGCCTTACTCAAAAGTCTGAAGTATAGGAGAAACTCAAGTTATGTAAAAGTAATTGTTGGTCTGGAGGTTTCTGTTGCATAAAGCAGCAAATTAAGTACAAATAATGAGGTTATGACAGTCATGTGCTACTGATGGGCTGTTGAAATGGACAAAGCCAACCTAAACCTCTTTTTAAAGCTAATGTGATGACATTTTTCAAAAGGGTAGGTTTAAAAAAGATCTTTGGGTGTTTGTCTGGGAAGCTCCACCACCAACCAGATTTCGCTGGTGTAAGTTGCTAGATTTTTGGATGTACTATACAGAACACATGCTCTAATTAGGGGTACCACAGGCTTTATGGCACAGTTGTTAATCTCCAGTCCCCCAACCAGAAAATTACACAATTATCAGGATTCTGGAGGAATTTATAGCATACTGCGTAGGTTATAGGAGTGTAAATCACATCCATCATGGCGATTCGATTCAGTATCGATTTCCTGACCCAACGATTCGATTATTTTCGATTCTCAAGAATACACCACGATTCGATTCGATTAATCGATTAATCGGTTAAATTTTTCCTTTATTATTATTATTATTTTTTTTACATCTTACAGGCTAAACAAAGTTTCAAGTTTGAAATAAATCAATGAAAGCTGTAATATCATTATGCATTTTCTTTAGAAACAACAGCAAATAACAGAAGTAGAAAAGTTGCATGAAAAAATACTGCAAAAATACTGCACAATATCAGTGTAATGAGTTCAATGCAATACCTCAGCTCCAAAGAAACTGTCCAACATATTTTTTTTAGAATGTAATAAATATACTCAGGAAAGAGAGATGTTGTGTAGAGAGTTAGACAGGAATAAAAATAAACTAGATATAAGGGAATTGTTTCAAAGGTCATCTGGTGATGTAGTTTTTGGTAGTATTTTTAATTTTCTAAGAAGAACGGGCATTTTATGGACAATATAATAGTTTGTCTGGTCCATACTCCATT